CATTCGGCTGGCGCAAGACGATAAACTGTATCGCGCATACGCACTGTGGGCCGGGGTCGCCTTGGGGCAGGCTGCACATTGACATTCAGGAGGCGTTTGCCGCAGATACAGATAAAGATTCAGATACTGAATACTGGATACTGGATGCTGGGGGAGAGGGTATATAGAAATAGATAAATACGGGGTTTTTATGCCAGCCATAAAGCTGCCGCCTGCATTCCGGTTTCGTTTTGTTTGGCCATTAGCTTTGTGTTGTTTTATTGGCCATAGAATCCTTGCCACTGTGACTACTGCCATTCGCGACATGGCTCTGTTTGCTCGCCATTGTTCTTGCACTAAATCAAAGTGTCGTTTGTTTGCGGCCTGCAAAGACTACGCGGCAAATCAAACACGATCCCGTTTCGGCGGAGGGGGAAAGTTTATCGCCACTCGGATTCAGATTTCGGCTCGCAATCGCATTTTTATGGCCTCATTTTGGCTTTTGCATAACAATTAGCCAGGCAACTGCGATTAGCCAGTCTTTTCGGCTCGCCTAAAGTGCGGAAATTGGAAAAGGAAAATAATCAGTGCCGAAAAAGAGCCGGAAAAACAGGGTTGCAATGGAAAAACACACACTTATGAAAATGAGAATGTTCTGTATGCCATATAAAGATTACACAAAATTTTTAAGTTAAATAAGAAGTTAGGGAACTTACAGAAAAGAATCATTTCCTATAGTTAAAAAAACAAAATATTTTTTAAGTTAAAAGATTAGTAAAAATTTTAATAAAAATAATACAATAACATACTAAACTCATTAAAAATAAATAGTTGGTAAGTTTTTGAAATTTTGCAATCAAACTTATTTTCGACCATCAGTCGCACAGAAAAGATAAAATTATGCTTATCACTTAAACCATTTATTTCTATAAATATTATTTCCATAGAACCACTTTCATTTTTATTATCAATCAAGTGCCCATATTTCCTTAAGCCAGGCAACCCGAACGAATTGAATACACGATTGAAGGCAAATCCGTGCAGCTTCAATTCAACGGGGATTCCCCCACCGACGCGTCCTGTTAGACGGTTGGAGTACCTTATCGAAGATATATCCAGCGAGGAATATACAAATATCAAATAAACGACAGCGCAGTGAACCGCGAATGCTGCAAAATGTGCAAAAGTACACAAAGAAAATTGCAATAACAATTTGCTGCAGACGAAAGCAGGGTAAAAAAGAAAATAATGCAGAATAAAATAGAATTATTTAACGAAAAACAGTTGAATTTCGGGTGCTTTTTTCTCCTCTGGCTGCACGGCATTTGCATAGAAAAATTCAAATTAAGCGAAAATGTGCAAAATGCTGTGAATGGATCTCAGTCGGTCTCCCTCCTCCTCCCCCTCGCCCTACCACCCCCTCCCCCAATTATTTGGGCAGGCGAATGCAACAAATGAATGGTCAAATAAAAGCTGGACAAAGAAAATGGGCAGCTGGAAATGAGCAGCCAAAGCAGAGCAGTTGACACAGAGATAACAAGGTGCGAGCGGGACGGGGAATGGACGAGAGCGAGATGGCCTGAGTTAAATAGCGCAGTCGAGTGCTTAAAGTGTTCGTCTAATGACAAAGCAAATTGTGTGCAAAGCTAACAAAAATGGAAGCCAAAACAATCCAGTAAACTAGAAGTGAAATTGGAAAAGTTTTAAAGTTTTTCCGTAATTTTCCTACAGCATCTTCGATTAAATTAATTGTTGATTAAGCCTCTCCGTAAGCCACCGCAAGTGCAAGCAGTACACCTCTATCTATGTACTATATATCCTGCTCACTCCCTCTTTTGACTTCGTCCTGCCACTCAGGACACTGCAAAAATAACAATCAACATCGCTTGAGTTGCAGCTCGGCTAATTGTTGTTGCTGTTTGAGCTGCTTAATTAAGACGTCGACGACAGTTTTTTCTTTCTCTCTCTAAATGCAGTGAGAGAAATTTTGAAGTATGGTGTAAGGAGTTGGGATGCATATCGAGAGGAATAGTCCGACGTGTTATATCGACAATAATATCGAGCTTAATATTGTATCGAAAATATCGTTAACTGAGATGTATCGAAATGTTGGATATCGATTTTTTTAAATTTATCTTAAAAACATTTTATAGATTACCTTTATTTAATTTTTAGAATATTTTTGTAGGACAGTAGCAGAGACTTTAAATTGAAATATGGGCACTTCCAAAATGTCGCTCGGGACATTTGCACACATTTAAAGTTGAAAAAAAATTGTAAAACAATGGATTTTAATTTTAATTATGGGCTTTTCTTTTCACTCTTTCCAAGCTCTATTTTTTGGTAAAAATCTTGATTTTGTACCGCTTTTAGTTTTTAAGATATCGGTAAAAAACTGCCGTATTCGCTCGGGACAAAAATAGAAGTGGATTTCGGGGAAGTTCATACAACACCAGAAATTAGCGAATTCTGATGGAATATTTTATTGCGATTTTTTTTAGAATGTTGTTCAAACATGTCGCTGTGAAATGCTTTTGGTTTTACTCAAAAATTCTTTGCCGTTTTTTTTTTATGCAGTCTCAACCACATTCGCTCGGGACATGTCGCTCGGGACAATTTTTCCGACGGTTTTGTAAAGCGAATTTCTTTACCTCTATCTCTCAATTGCTGGATGTTTTGCTTTTAACTTAATAGTTTAGCATGTGAATGAAGCATTCAGTACAGAAAAATGTCACATATTAGCATTCCTATAGGATAAATTAACAACAGAAGACAGGTCCAAAAAATAACAAAAAAATAGCCAAAAACTGATTTTTGCGTAAATTGGTGGAGTTTGTCATAAAAATAATCAAACTATACTCCAAATTTGTAGTTAAGCTCAGTATCCAACTAATTAGAAACTAATATCGGGGCAAAATCATGTGGAAATATGTTTTTTTCAAGTTTTAAGGTTTTTGGCTTGGTGGACTTTTTTTTGGAAGTGCCCATATAATCTTATTTTCACCGTCTTTTACTGTTTCTTTTTCCCTCACTATGTTTATCCGCTTAACTTCCAGGGCCTTTTCCTTGTTTTTATTTGCATAGGCCAGCTTCGCAACTTCATCTCCACCCACATCCACATCCTCATCCGCAAGTGTCCAGTGCAAGGCATTTCAACGTCAACGGATGTGTCATCGCCCTCTCCATACCCTCAACTCGATTGAAGAATCAAAAGTGCCACTTCAGTTCATGTAAGAGTGGACTTGTAACTGCTTCTCTTTGACACTTTCCGAATTCAGCCATCGATGCAATTTGTTTTCGACTTTATCCCTTTATAAGGTCCGCTCCCCGTTCAATCGCATTATCGCCACAGTGCCCTTATTATACGAGATGTTTTAAAAATATATTTACATAAGAATTCGAAGTCGCTCGAAATGCATTTAGGCCGCAGCTCAAAAAAAAAAGCTACTGTAGCCTTACACTGGAAATATAATTAAGAAAGTATTATAGTATTTATTATTGTTTAATTTAAAAAGATATTTCTAGTCTTAAAATATATTTAATATTTATTCTAAGTCTTAAAAAATATTTAAATTATATCAGAAAGTATTTAAGATAAAGATAAGCTGTTCTCACACCTAAGGTTCTCAAAACTTTCATCGTAGTGCATAAGGATTTGAGTATCCTGGCGATATCACCCGTTTTTTGCCAGTTCCTTCTCTCTTGCAGGCTTTCTTTCCTTCACATGCCAGCACAATTGCCTTTGTCCGTCTTGGCCGCCTGTCATCTGGCTTTTTTCACATTTCCCCGTCTACTGGCCCCTTTTTTGCTCTCCTTCGATTCCACTGATGCTGATTCTGATGCCGTTTGCATTATGTCCCGTGCACACTGCTCCGTTCTTCTGCGGCCTGCATTGTTCGAATGTAAATGCCGCTGCCTTGAGTCCGCTCGGAGTTTACGGTTCGAAGAACTAAATGTCAACAGTTTTCATAAATCTGCCACTGTTGGTGGACATCATCAGCTCAGACCGCCAGTCCACCAGTCCACCAGCCACGCCCCACCGCCCCCGTGATCCAGATTCCGAGGTCTGAAGTCCGGACTCAAAGTTATCTTAAGTGCTCCGAGTGGAAACTGTCAGCCGTTCTGTTCTCGGGTTGGCTTGTTTGCTCGCTGTTTGTTTGCTGCCCGCTGACTCTGTTGGCCAACTGTTTTTGACAAGCTCTTTAAAATAAATCACTTTCCCGAATGCTTTTTCGAATTGAATTTTCAAATGTTTTCGCTAAACTGATGAGCAATGAATAATTCTATGTGCTTTGGTGTTAAATGTCCTTGGCTGGCAATTTAGATTATTATTATTATTAATTTTAAATGTGCTTTTGAGGCAATTCCAAGGAGACTACTAAACAAACAAAGCTTTGCATGCAGCCACTTCAGTTTAAGGTCAATAAATGTTAAATGAAATCACCTTAAATTGGGTACAAAACACTGTCAAAATTATAAGGGATATTTTTTTTTATCAATTTAACAAGAAAATATTTACATTTTTGATTGACTCTCCATGTGAACTCAAGAATATTCGAAGACCAAGAGCTTGTTTTTCGTTCCCCGGAATTTCTTGGCAATTACTTTCCATTAGCAGGCCTTTGTAATGCTAAGCACAACTTTCAACTTTCGCTACTTTTGGCCAAGCGAGCGAAGACAAGGCTCTATAATATTTTATGGCACACGTTCGATTGGCCATTGAAACTAAACCATTGTTTCGACTTGGCCAAAAGTGCCGTTGCTCTCGGAATCGAATCAGAAGAATGGGAAACCAGTTCTCTCTACAAGACAGTGGTCCATCAACCCAACGAGATTCCATGTTCCCTATAACATGTTAGATTTTAATCGCGTTGAGCTTCGCTGGGGTCCACTGTGTTTTCACATTCCTAGAACATTGGCGAACATGAGGCGTCAATGCAAATTAGCTGCGGACTGACCCAAATCGGCTGGCCATAAAATTGGTCGAGTGGTCGAAAATCGGTTTAGTCGTTTAGCCGGGGCCAACGCCTAAAATATGTATTAGCCAGAATGAAGCTGCCGCTGCTGCTGTTGTTAATCTTCGGGTCTTGTGTTTTGGTGACCAGAGGTAAGCAGTGAGGCCCCAGTGAAAGTACAGTGATTTCTAACCCCTGACGAACCTCTTAGCCAATCCTGCCCGCCACTGGCGACGTGCTCCCACCCATGGCGTCTTCAATGTGGATGTGTATGCCTACAACAAGCCAAGGATGAACCTCGCAGGCCGCCAAAAGAGGGTTGAAGAGGCTCCCCCAATGGTTGACCTCCTCCAGCAGATCTCCCAGCACAGTCGACGATCCACGGAACCGAGGTCCCACTACAGGAAGCTCGAGGAGGACCAAGAGGAGGTCCTGCTGCCAATGAACGGAACCATAAACATGCAATTAATGCCGCTGCAAATGAACTCGACTGTGCACGCACGGGAGAATTTATACTCGAACGAGTTCCATGTGCAGAGCATCGGGGCCAAGAAGATAGTGCAATTGAATACCCTGACCGGCGACCATGAACGTAAACCAGTCGTCGAAGAAGAAGTTATGACCCCGAAGGAGGAGGCGGAGCAGCAGCAGGAGGAGCCACTGAAGGTAAAGCTGACACTGCCAGAGCTCCAAGAGAACAATGGACAGGATGAAGTCGGTACAGAGGACCCAGAAGCCTTGGCCTCAAACGCCACGATGACAGCTGTTCAGCCGGGCGAAGGGGAACAAGAATCATCCCCTCTGACAAGTGTGAAGAAAACTATGGCCCCGAGTGGGACAATTATCGATGTGGCAGCGACAGGAATGCAGCAGCCTGTCGATGCCGGTGACACGGGCACAAAGAAGAAAAATCAGGACGAAACCAGAGTCAGGACGAAGTCGCGTCCAAAGACCAGGCGAAAGCAAAAGCCAACAGGAGCCAAAGCGTCTAATGAAACTGATACAAAGATGACAGTTTCTGCTCCCCCTGCACCTTCTCCTTCCAAGACCAACCCCTTACTGCTACAAAATCCCGGTCCATTGGAATTGGAAACACAATCACCGGAAATCAGCACGCATCGTCCTGCGACAGCAAAGGGCAAAGGAAAAGGCAAGGGAAAGGGTAAGGGCAAGAATAAACGTCGCAAGGACTCGCTGATGGAGGAGGAAATTGAAACTACGACAAATTGGTGGCAGATTCTGCCGTATACGGAAATTAGAAAATTTTTGAATACGATTTACGATACCATCGCCGACGACGTGGACGACGAACGTGCCACGGATGATGTGTGAGATGTAAGAGTTTGTTGGATGGTCGGTCCCCGGGGTTTTTATCGGGGTTTTGGTAGTGGTTGTTTATTGAGGGTCCGACCGGCCGGCAAATTGAATTTCCGCTGGCACTAAACTTTGTGTGAAACTGATCAAATAGCTAGTAAGTCAGGGGTAAAATGATTCGATTGAATTCCATTCGGTGGTTTATAGTGAAAATAAATAGATATAATAACTGTAACTAGTGTAGAAAAAGTAAGTAATAACTTGTACAATTGGAATAAAGCCAATAAATAATTATGATAACAAAAAAATTAAACTAAAAAATAAAGATTTATAAATCAAGGAGTTGGAACTTCCAGTTCCGAGGAACTGAAAAAGTAGAAAAAAAATAATGAAAAAAAAAATACTGAGACTTTAATGGAACTTTCCCTTTCACTTCAAATTCCTGCCCCCATTAATCATCATAATCATCATTTCACAGTCATCAATGTCTGTATTTAATGCGGCGAGGCTGCGTCAACAAAGCTGACTTAATTAAAAGTCCCCCGATCAGAGACAATAACTCGGCTTGGCACTTAAAAACCCATCTATTCATATTTGAATAAACAAATAGAACCCAGTTCGGTATACTTCTAGTCAAATAACTCGAAGACAGCTTAATGGGCATTAGACGGAACCCCAAACCCCGAACTCAAGCCCGTGACAGGTTAAAGTTGAAAGTGGTCAGACGGCTTCCAAAGAGTTCACAGGTAGGCAAAAGCGTGAATCGAGCCGACATTAATGAGCTGAGAATTTATTTTTTATGGCTCCGAAATGAATTTCACAGATTGCCAGACTCCGGACAGTGAGTCAGCCGGAATAAATCTTGGCCGCTGATTGATTGGGCTTAATGAGAGATGATAATGATTAAAGTATATATATAAATTCATTTCGGTTATTTATTGAACGACCAGCAAGACAAATTTCTGTTTACTCAAGTGATTAAAAGTGGCTCGTCGCCGCAGTTTTCCCCTCCTCGACTTGGGCTCAATCTCGGCCAGAATAAACAGCTGCGGTTCAGTGTTTGGTTGGGTCAATTCGAAGATCTCCTGAGCAGCTTTAGGGGGAGATACAGTGGAGCTTGGTTTACTTTCCACCTCCTGGACAAGTGGCACACTGAATGAGTGACCCTCGTAAAGATGCAGTTGCCAGTCGCAAAGATTCGGGGTCAGGGTGCACTTAGCTGAGGAGTTAGCCGCTATGAGCTTCGCCTGGCTCAAATCCAGTTGCCTGAGTTGCTGCAGTGCCTCATCCTGGATGTGTTGGGGGGCAGCTTCGCTCCAACGAAGAAGCAACAGAAGTAGCCACGGGAAAGCTCGAAAGGCTGCGACGGAGCTCATTTCAATTTCACCTACCACCTACTCAGGAAGCTCAGCTTGGACTGGTCAATTCGGTTTGAGTTGACCAGGTGGAGTGGGGCAACTGAAACCAGTTTGCTTAAATATTTTCGCTTGGAGTGCTGTCATCTTTGTCACTTCAAAAGAATTACCAATGAACTTCCAATGCCCCGTAATTTTTGGGAATTTCGGTGGTAAGATGGAGTGGATGATGTGGAACTTAAGACGGTAAAAAGTTAATTTATTTAAGAGGTTATTAGTAACCCGCTGATCATCAACAAAATCGTTATGTTGAAAACCATGAAGATTAGAAGAAATTTGGTTCTGTTGGATTAGTTGGATCAATGAGCGACATCGTAGGTGGTGTTCTTGTTGGTCTCGTAGGTCTAGTGGATCTTGTGAAATGTTGTGAAGGCGGTCGCGCTGAAGATCGAAAATCCTTGACGAAGTCTGGGAAAATATTCTCTACTTTCCACACAGGTATTTTGATCTGAATTTCGTGTCCACTTAAACCATTTAAGCAAACGATTAAAAAGAAAAATATCGCTTTGGTCAGCAGCACCATGGCGCTTTTCTTCTCCCAAACTGAAGTTTAGACTGACTTTACACCATTTTATATGCCTCTTGGTTATTATTAAAATATAAATAATAAGATTGGGAGTAAGTGGATCAATAAATGAAATCTGTTATCTATTCCGTTGTGAAATATGCCAATTTACCTTATTTTCTGGCATTCAAATTTTTGGGACAACGTTAAATCAACCTAACTTATAAGAGAATGTGTTTTTGACAATTTATTTTGTTAGCCTATACACAAAAGGGAAACATTTTTAGCGTCTTATTCGAACTATCACCTTATAATACAGGTTAAAAGAATATATTAGAGATAAAAAAAAGGGACCTTAAGAGGAAAAAGGAGAAACTAAGACGGTATTTATGTCATTTTTGCATACAATTTTTATTTCTAAATGTCATTTGTTTATCTGTTTTTAATATATGGGTGCTTTTCTCGGCTACCATTTTTTTTATCCGCTTAGCTTCAACTTATTTTTCACCAGAGTTTGAGGCGATGTTCCTTCGGCTGGAGTTATTAGAAGCAAGGGCCTTCCATTCTCGTCCGACAATCTTACGAATTGAGCTTCTTCCGGCTTCATACACAAACGGGGATAATAGAAACAGAGAGATGTCACCGAGTGTGGCATTGTTTCGATCGAAAGCTTCTGCGCCGGCTTAAAAGAATGGCTAAACTTATTGTTGATTAAGTGCACTGACTTGACCGCTTGACACTCGGGAAGATATGGGTACACAGCGCAAAGATCGCGGGGTGGACTAGTTGTTGCATCCGTTGTCGATTCTTCAGTTGTTGCATCCGTTGTTAAATCCGTAGCTGCGTCCGTTGTTGCGTCCGTTGTTGAATCCGTTGTTAAATCCGTGGCTGCGTCCGTTGTTGTTTCAGATGTTGCATCTGTTGTAATTTCCGTTGTTGCATCCGTTGTTGTCTCAGTCGGTGCATTTGTTGTAGTCTCAGTTGTTGCATCCGTTGTTGTTACTGTTGTAGTCTCCGTCGTTGGCTGCGTTGTTGTAGCTTCGGTAGGAGTTTCAGTTGTAGTTGGTTTCTCAGTTGGTTTGTCTGTTGGCTTAGTTGGTCTAGTTGGTCTGGTTGGTCTGGTCGGTCTAGTTGGTCTAGTTGGTCTAGTTGGTCTATCCGTTGGTTTAGTTGGTCTATTCGTTGGCTTAGTTGGTCTATCCGTTGGTTTAGTTGGTCTATTCGTTGGCTTAGTTGGTCTTGTTGGTTTAGTTGGTGGCTCCGTTGGAGGTTCAGTTGGAGGTTCAGTTGGAGGTTCGGTTGTTGGCCACGGCGGCCTTGTTGGTGGAACATATGGAGGATATGGATAGAAAGGTGGCGGAGGATAAGCAAGCGCATAAGGATCGTAGTATCCATATTCGGTTGGCCAATACTCTTCATGGTTGGGTCTCTCTTTCTTTTTCTTTTTACTGACTTGGCCGTTGGTGAAACCTGTTACTTTTTTGATAATTCCTCCAACATCCCACACGGGTATTCGGACTTGAACCTGATATCCCTTGGCTAATGAAAGAAACCATGTCGGTCCAGCTGCGACTAGCAGGACGCAGGTAATAAAACTTCTAAGCAGTTGCATGCTTTTCGTAATAAAACGGACTGAAGCGTAGCGTTCATTAACACCTTTATATATTCCATGATGTTCTAGAGAAATTGATTAATAACCACTGGTCCCAGTTAAATAAAAAGCAAGCAAACTCTTAACTTATAGCTAAATCGGTTAAATCTCTGTTGACATTTTCGTGCAGTATGCTTCATTTCGGATCAGATTGATTGAACATCATAAATTATGGGCTACAAGATAGTTTGCTTATCATAGTAAGTAACATCTTTAAAACTGGAACGCGTTCTGCTTGGTTTGCATGCCACTGATATCAGCATTAGATAGTTTCTGGATTATCTGCTAAATATTAAAAGTAAGTAAAAGAATGAAATCGGTCCTACAAATCTGTAAAATACAATGCTTTACTTTTCACACTCTTTATTTTAAGTAAAAACCGGTAACTTTTATGATCTTTGATTTGTTCTCTTTTTAATTAACCGGTAAATATATTTATTCCTAGAAGGTTTTTTCTGTCGTGATGTCTGCAGTTTCAGGGGTCTTGAATTTGAGAAAATGTTATTCGCTGTGGGTGTCGAGAAAAGTGTTGGCTTCGTAATTCCTCCCGGCGATATAAGAAGCATTGGCTTGCCAAATCCATCGGTTAAGCGTACATATTGGGCCTCCTCCGGCTGAGCACAAAGTCTTGGATAATTGTGACACAGCGTCGTCATGGATTGAGGAGCCGATTGAACTGTTAATTGAAGATCAGGGCGAAGAACGCCAGAATCTGAGGGCAGGTCTTCTAAACTTAATACAGTTGGAGTTGAAATGGGGCTACTCTGGAGCTGATTGTAGTACGAGTAAAATGGATTGGATGTTGTTGCTGGTAAATATCCTTTTTTTACTTTAATTCGGGAAGATGAAACGACCCCTCCTGTTGTTGATGAGCCTGTTGTGGTTGAGCCCGTTGTGGAAGATCCTCCCGTTGTGGAAGAACCTCCCGTTGTTGAAGATCCTCCAGTTGTTGAAGAACCTCCAGTTGTGGAAGATCCTCCCGTTGTTGAAGATCCTCCCGTTGTTGAAGATCCTCCAGTGGTAGAAGATTCATCGGTTGTGGAATTGGTTGTAGATTCAACTGTAGTCGAAGGTGCCACTGTAGTCGAAGTACTTGTTACTGGCGATGCCGTTGAGGTGGACGAAGTTGTTGTGGCTTTCCGTGTGGTTGTTGTTCTTCTAGTGGTTGTAGTTGATCGTCTGGTTGTCGTTGGTCTTCTAGTGGGTCTTCTTGATGGCCTGGGTCTTGGTCGATTCGGAATCTGTGGCCCCAGAGGTCGTAGAGGTCGCGGAGGTCGCGGGGGTCGAGGAACTGGCATTGGAACAGGCACAGGCACAGGCAAAGGTAAAGGTTCAGCTGCCGCTAGATCGCTTCCAGAAAGGAGTCCTTGCTTTTTTTTGTAATATTCCTGCATAAGCGCATTGTAATAGGCGTCCCAAGCGCCGGCATCTGTTGGATTTCCCTGCGGTGCTTGAGTGGTGCTCGCTGCCCCAAAGGCATTCGATATCCGCGAATAGAGATCATTCACATCCCAAAGTGGCACATTTAACCGAAGAGCTTCTTCTGGCTTGTAACACCAAACTGGGGCTGTGATCAGTAATAGAAAAAACGCGTGCATCGTGTTGCTTGCCTTAATGCCCGGATTCAAACTAAGTTTGCAACCAAGTTGAGAGAACGTTTTTATAGACATATCGGAAGATAATAAGACCACTGATGATGCCCCAGAGCCATAGACGACCCAAACGCTTTATAGTTAAAACAATTGTCAAGCCAGCAAGTTGATTGTATGTCACTGAACAAAGCAACAAAGTGCTACGTTCTTTCTTAATCATGGCGTTTTAAAACCTGCTTTCTACTTTGCAGCGGAAATATTTATGGTTTTTTTAATATTATATATTAATTTTGAAGTCTTGAAACTAAAAGTGCATTTTGCAATATTTAAATGTAATAGACAGGAGGTGGTTTCTTTATAATAGTTTCAAAAATTTTTCGTTTAATCAATATTTTGTCGTTGAGTGTTCATTTATAGCTTGTAAAATCAAGTAGGTAAAATTAAATTAAATGAATTATTCGAACCCATTAAAGTGTTTGGCTATTTTTTTCTATGGATCTCCTTATTGCTCTCCATAGGGCAGGCTGCTGTTGGGGATGAGCGGATCGTCCTTCAAACTGTGAAATTAACAACAGGGGTTTTCCATTTCCATCGGCAAGACGTACAAATTGGGCCTCCTCTGGTTTCAAGCACAGACGAGGATAAAAGTAACAGAGCGAAGTTACTGATTGGGGCATTGAAGTAATTGCCAGCTGTTGCTCGGGCTTGAAGACAGTGCCAGAAGCAGTGATGTCAGACAGCCCAGATTCATTTTCACTCAGTTTCACTGATTTTGCCGATTGACAATTCGGAAGTTGGGGAAATTGTTTGCACAATGAATCTGTATCCTCAGTGGACTCTTTTGTGGTGATGGCGACCGCTGTGGATGTTGTGACACTTTCTGTTGTTGTGGTATAATCCGATGTAGGGATCGCTGTGGATGTCGTTCCACTTTCTGTTGTTGTGGTGGAATCCGTTACGGGGATCGCTGGCGATGTTGTCCCACTTTCTGTTGTTGTAGTGGAATCCGTGGTGGGGCTTGCAGTAGTTGTGGTGGTGGAATCCGTTGAGGGGCTTGCAGTAGTTGTGGTGGTGGAATCCGTGGTCGAGATTGCTGTACTTGTGGTGGTCGAATCAGTTACAGGGATCGCTGTGGAAGTTGTTCCACTTTCTGTTGTTGTGGTGGAATCCGTGGTGGGGCTTGCAGTAGTTGTGGTGGTGGAATCCGTTGTGGGGCTTGTAGTACTTGTAGTGGTGGAATCAGTCACAGGGATCGCTGTGGAAGTTGTTTCACTTTCTGTTGTTGTGGTAGAATCCGTGGTGGGGCTTGCGGTAGTTGTGGTGGTGGAATCCGTTGTGGGACTTGCAGTAGTTGTGGTGGTGGAATCCGTGGCGGGGCTTGCAGTACTTGTGGTGGTGGAATCAGTCACAGGGATCGCTGTGGAAGTTGTACCACTTTCTGTTGTTGTGGTGGAATCCGATGTGGGGCTTGCAGTAGTTGTGGTGGTGGAATCCGTGGTGGGGCTTGCAGTACTTGTGGTGGTGGAATCCGTTGTGGGGCTCGCAGTAGTTGTGGTGGTGAAATCAGTTACAGGAATCGCTGTGGAAGTTGTTCCACTTTCTGTTGTTGTAGTGGAATCCGTGGTGGGTCTTGCAGTAGTTGTGGTGGTGGAATCCGTGGTCGGGCTTGCAGTACTTGTGGTGGTCGAATCAGTTACAGGGATCGCTGTGGAAGTTGTTCCACTTTCTGTTGTTGTGGTGGAATCCGTGGTTGGGCTTGCAGTACTTGTGGTGGTGGAATCCGTGGTGGGACTTGCAGTAGTTGTGGTGGTGGAATCCGTTGTGGGACTTGCAGTAGTTGTGGTGGTGGAATCAGTTACAGGAATCGCTGTGGAAGTTGTTCCACTTTCTGTTGTTGTAGTGGAATCCGTGGTGGGGCTTGCAGTAGTTGTAGTGGTGGAATCCGTGGTCGGGCTTGCAGAACTTGTGGTGGTCGAATCAGTTACAGGGATCGCTGTGGAAGTTGTACCACTTTCTGTTGTTGTGGTGGAATCCGATGTGGGGCTTGCAGTAGTTGTGGTGGTGGAATCCGTGGTGGGGCTTGCGGTAGTTGTGGTGGTGGAATCCGTTGTGGGACTTGCAGTAGTTGTGGTGGTGGAATCCGTTGTAGGACTTGCAGTAGTTGTGGTGGTGGAATCCGTGGTGGGGCTTGCAGTACTTGTGGTGGTGGAATCCGTTGTGGGGCTTGTAGTACTTGTGGTGGTGGAATCAGTTACAGGGATCGCTGTGGAAGTTGTTCCATTTTCTGTTGTTGTGGTGGAATCCGTGGTGGGGCTTGCAGTAGTTGTGGTGGTGGAATCCGTTGTGGGGCTTGTAGTACTTGTAGTGGTGGAATCAGTCACAGGGATCGCTGTGGAAGTTGTTCCACTTTCTGTTGTTGTGGTGGAATCCGTGGTGGGGCTTGCAGTACTTGTGGTGGTGGAATCCGTTGTGGGGCTTGTAGTACTTGTGGTGGTCGAATCAGTTACAGGAATCGCTGTGGAAGTTGTACCACTTTCTGTTGTTGTGGTGATATCCGATGTGGGGCTTGCAGTAGTTGTGGTGGTGGAATCCGTGGTGGGGCTTGCGGTACTTGTGGTGGTGGAATCCGTTGTGGGACTTGCAGTAGTTGTGGTGGTGGAATCCGTGGCGGGGCTTGCAGTACTTGTGGTGGTGGAATCCGTTGTGGGGCTTGTAGTACTTGTGGTGGTCGAATCAGTTACAGGAATCGCTGTGGAAGTTGTACCACTTTCTGTTGTTGTGGTGGAATCCGATGTGGGGCTTGCAGTAGTTGTGGTGGTGGAATCCGTGGTGGGGCTTGCGGTAGTTGAGGTGGTGGAATCCGTTGTGGGACTTGCAGTAGTTGTGGTGGTGGAATCCGTGGCGGGGCTTGCAGTACTTGTGGTGGTGGAATCAGTCACAGGGATCGCTGTGGAAGTTGTACCACTTTCTGTTGTTGTGGTAGAATCCGATGTGGGGCTTGCAGTAGTTGTGGTGGTGGAATCCGTGGTGGGGCTTGCGGTAGTTGTGGTGGTGGAATCCGTTGTGGGACTTGCAGTAGTTGTGGTGGTGGAATCCGTTGTGGGACTTGCAGTAGTTGTGGTGGTGGAATCAGTAACAGGTATCGCTGTGGACGTTGTTCCACTAGCTGTTGTTGTCGTAAAATCAGTAATTGGAATCGCTGTTGATGTCGTAGTACTCTCTGTAGTTGTGGTGGAGTCTGTAGTAGGACTCGCTGTAGTTGTTGTGGTGGACTCTGTTGTTGGACTCGCTGTAGTTGTTGTGGTGGACTCTGTTGTTGGACTCGCTGTAGTTGTTGTGGTGGAATCAGTTACGGGTATCGCTGTGGACGTTGTTCCACTAGCTGTTGTTGTCGTGGAATCAGTTATGGGAATCGCTGTAGATGTCGTAGGACTCGCAGTAGTTGTTGTGGTGGACTCTGTTGTTGGACTCGCTGTAGTTGTTGTGGTGGACTCTGTTGTTGGACTCGCTGTAGTTGTTGTGGTGGACTCTATTGTTGGACTCGCTGTAGTTGTTGTGGTGGAATCAGTTACGGGTATCGCTGTGGACGTTGTTCCACTAGCTGTTGTTGTCGTGGAATCAGTTATGGGAATCGCTGTAGATGTCGTAGGACTCGCAGTAGTTGTTGTGTTGGACTCTGTTGTTGGACTCGCTGTACTTGTTGTGGTGGACTCTGTTGTTGGACTCGCTATTGTTGTTGTGGTGGACTCTGTTGTTGGACTCGCTGTAGTTGTTGTGGTGGAATCAGTTACGGGTATCGCTGTGGACGTTGTTCCACTAGCTGTTGTTGTCGTGGAATCAGTTATGGGAATCGCTGTAGATGTCGTAGGACTCGCAGTAGTTGTTGTGGTGGACTCTGTTGTTGGACTCGCTGTAGTTGTTGTGGTGGACTCTGTTGTTGGACTCGCTATTGTTGTTGTGGTGGACTCTGTTGTTGGACTCGCTGTAGTTGTTGTGGTGGACTCTGTTGTAGGACTCGCTGTAGTTGTTGTGGTGGACTCTGTTGTTGGACTCGCTGTAGTTGTTGTGGTGGACTCTGTTGTTGGACTCGCTGTAGTTGTTGTGGTGGAATCAGTATCGGGTATCGCTGTGGACGTTGTTCCACTAGCTGTTGTTGTCGTGGAATCAGTGATGGGGATCGCTGTAGATGTCGTAGTACTTTCTGTAGTTGTGGTGGACTCCGTTGTGGGGCTCGTTGTACTTGTTGATAATGATTGACACACTGGAAGCTCAGGAAAAACTGTACAAATGGGAATTTCAGTTGTAGTCGGTGCGTTGGTTGTTGTTGGAGCTTCTGTTGTAGGTTGAAATCCATTCGGATCATAGGGTCCATAAGGACCGTAGGGTCCATAATATCCGTATCCATAAGGATCCGCGTTCTGGTATGCATTCGCCCAATAGTTGTTATAATAGTCGTTCAGATAATCGTTGTATTCGTTGTTCTGCTGGATGTTCTGCTGATTATTCTGCTGGTTGTTATTGCCATTTGATGGATTTTGGTTATTCGAGTTTCCTGTGTTGATTCCTATTCCAGTTAGGCGCGTAAATAAGGTGGAAGCATCCCAGACAGGTATCCTTATTTTAATTGATTGTCCCCATGCCTGACTGCTTAGGATAAGCAACAAGCTAACCGTCTTTAATATCATTCCGAGCTGAGATTAACCGTCGGCCTGGTTAGCCTAGAACTGATGGGATAGCGGCTAAACACCTGGAGTTTTATACAGACCACTGAAGTCGTAAAATGAAAATGATAGACAATATAGACAAACAAAAGGTTGAATAGATCTAACTTCATAAATTTAAAATATTTATAGATTTTGTAAGAGAACACTTCTAGACTTCTTCGGTGCAGCTAATGCTAATTAGTTCTTAGCCTCTCATTCAGCACGTGTTTGGGATGTGGCTAGAGCTTCTGAGCATTTAATTTGCAAGATTTAGAATCAATTATCTGACAAAAGAAAGCCCATAAGTTTTTGGTTTGATTTTATTGAATAAATTAAGTTTCGTATGTGTGAAGAAACCAAAATGTTCTTCTATTTCTTGCCGTAGGCGAAGTAAGGAGCTACCTGTGCCCTGCGGTAAATGTTGTTATAGGGAATGTATACAGGAGAGGCCTGAGCTGAAGATGAGGCATCGGCGGAGGTACGGACGTAGATCGGGTTGGAGCCGATGCGGTGCAGTTCGTAGGGACTGATCAGTGAGCTGGGCACATAGTGGTGGGGCAGGGGAGTGGTTTGAATCCGGGCATTGGCCACCGCCGTCGAAGTGGTGTCCGTGTCGGCAGGTGCCACAGCAGTGGAGGTGGCTGGAGCAGCCGTGGTTGTTGTGGTAGTGGTGGTGGTGGTGCTTGAGGTAGTGGTGGTGTCGGAGGCCACGGCAGTTGAAGTGGCTCCGGATCCAGCTGTTGTGGCAACTGCAGTTGAGGTGGCAGGGGATGCAGTGGTTGTGGTGCTAGTGGTTGTGGTGGTGTCGGAGGTCACGGCAGTTGAGGTGGTTCCGGATCCAGCTGTTGTGGCAACTGCAGTGGAGGTGGCTGGGGATGCAGTGGTTGTGCTTGCGGTGGTAGTGGTGTCGGAGGCCACGGCCGTTGAGGTGGTTACGGGTCCCGCGGTTGGGGCAACTGCAGTTGAGGTTTGGCTAGCAGCGGTCGTAGAAGTGATGGGAGCTGCTGTAGTGGACGTAGCAGCGTTGGCAAAGAATCCATTGGGACCATAGAGACTGTACATGTACGCATCGTAGGCCGCCTGAGCCTGGTAGTATTGCTGCAACTCGTTGTAATACTGATACAGGCTCGCTTCGTATTCCGCTTGAGCATTGTTGTTATTGTTGCCTCCTCCACCGCCACCACCTCCTCCTCCTCCGCCTCCACCTCCTCCACCACCTCCTCCTCCACCTCCTCCAGCTAGAGCAGAGACAATACTTCCCACGGTGTAGACGGGAAAACTAAAGGACTGACACCAGGCCTGGTTAGTCAGCAGGAGCAGAAATCCCAGGGATTTAAACAGCATTTTGAAGAGAGATTCTACGTTGCTCCGGTTAGTTCAGAACTAATGTGGCGGCTCCACGATGCCAACAGTTTTATACAGTCGCTGGGGTGTCATAAATTGGATTATTTGTGTCGGAGACCTACAAAAGACCGGACTGGAACGCGGGCCTCAGATCGCAGAATTAGAATTGGGCTTGGAGAAGATCCGAATCGATAATTTGAATTTTTATTGTTTTGCCCAGTGAAATCTCAAAAGTGAACTGAAAGCTTATTTCGCATAACTTAGTGGACTAATGGCCCGTCATAATAAGCAAAGTCTACTTAACGGGCCTCTATTACAAGAATTAGCCAATTTAGTAATCATCTCTCCTTATGAATTATGTATCTTTATTGATCTCTTATCTCTTAATAATACGAAGAAGGCCTATATACAGGCCTATAATAAACGTATCTATATGGGGGTCTATAGTAGAGAACACTGGGGGCGCTGTGGGGTCGGTTGACAGCCGGGCGTCTTGTGGTTTGCTGTAGAATTTTGTTCACCGGCTGCTCCACATCATCCAAATCGTATTTGATGCGAGATCCATTCTTAAAGTCTATATAGTCGTAGTCCTCGTCGTTGTCGGGTGCGTTGATATCTTTCTCCACAGGCGGTTTTTGGGTGGTGGTAGTGGCCTGAGCTATGAAGTCAGCCAGCAAAGCGGGTGAAATTGTGGGCGCAGCACCTGGAACACCTGGCTGCTGTAAACCCTGTAGAATTCCCTGAAGGAACTGCTCGCGTACCAAATTACTGGATTGCTGAGAGCTAACCCCCTCATCGGACTGGGGCTGCTTCATAATCGCACTGTTTGCGGTGGTAAATATCTCATCCTGCGGTCTCACGATGGGAGCTAGTGGCCCAACTCCCGGATATGCCAGAAGATACAGCCACGGTAGAGCTGTGCGAATTTTCTCCTGATCTGCACTCGGGGCACCTGCACTGCTCACCGCCACTAAACACAGTAGAAATCCGATTAGTTTCATATCGAAACGCGGACCACTTTGAACTGAAGACTGTCTGGGCATTCGACTTGCATATTTAGCAAATGTCTGCACCCTATGATATGTAAATGCTAATTTGGGTTCATTAATAAGTTGGCGATCGGAGAAATCGATCGCGTCTCTCTCGGGTTTCTTTCTTGTCTTGCTTTTGTTTACCTTTTTAATTCGTTTACAGTCTGCTTTTTTCTTTTTGGATCTGAATCAGCAGCGAAGATAACTTACTTGGCAGCGGGCCCCTTTCGCCATCGAGTGGTTTTTTGATTTCTTTGCACTTGAAATGTTAAAAATACTGCTTGCACTGCTTGCACGCGGTTATTCCAACATTTGCTCATAACATTTTAATAAATGATCCGACTTGAAAAATGTTTAAACATGTTGATAGGTTTTAATGAGCCACATTAAATAGTTTAAGAAAATAATATTATTTCTTCGCAACGAAGTGAACTTGATCATAGGGTATCAAGACGGGTGGGAGCTGTGCTGATGAATCCAATGACGGATCGTGGACATAGATATGCTGAGGCTGGAGGTGGTGCAGATCGTAGGGACTGATCTGGGCACTGGGCACGTAGGGATATGGCAAAGGGGTGGTGTGAACCCGGTATCGCGCAACTGCATTGGATGAGGCCAAGGCTGTAGAGGTGGTATCGGGACCTGTTGATGTGGGAACTGCAGTGGATGTAGTTGGGGAGACCGTGGTTGTTGGTTGAGTAGCTACGGCCGTTGAGGTTGTCGGGTCTCCCGTTGAGGTGGGAAGTGCAGTGGAAGTCGTAGGAGTTCCCGTACTTGTTGGAATCGCTGTTGAGGTTTTTTCTGTTGACGTTGTAGTGTCTGGAGCTGGCGTGGTTGTGGTTGTTGCCGGTGGTGGTGGCTCATGACCGTGATGGCCATGGTGTCCGTAGGGATCATAGGGTCCGGGTCCGGGTCCGTAGTAGCCGTAGGGTCCATATGGACTGTAGTACCCATACAACTGATTATACTGAGCTTGATAGAACTGCTGCCAGTGGTTGCCGTAGTACTCGTTCAGATAGGCGTTGTATTCCCATTGAGCGTTGTTATTGTTGTGGCTGTGCGAGTGGCCAGGACGAGAGTTATGACCGCCTCCAGAGATGTGTAGGCCCAGGTTTTGAAGGCCCAGGTTTTGAAGGCCCAGGTGGCTCAGGTTCCCTAAGGACTGACCTGTTAGCAGTAAAAGGAGACCTAATACTTTAATCAGCATCGCGAAGAAGGATTACACGACTCTCTGACTTTCACAGAACTGATGTGACAATCTTTAGGGTCCCACAGTTTTATACTGGTTGAAAGGGGTAGAAAAATTAACCGAACTTTGATACATTTAGTCTAGAACACAGACTTCAGCCTATCCAACGATTTAAATTTTTATTAGTTTGCCTAATGGATAGCATAACTTAATAATATAATGAGCCGCCAAAGCGCGAGAGTTGGACTCTACATGTCAGCATCTGAGATCAAAGGTTTCCAACCAAGAGAAGGAATCGATATAACAGAAATATTTTGGGCACACAGAAAAAATGATTTAAAATTAACAAAATGGACAAAAGTCAGTCATTGGTAAATTATCTAGAATTAACGTGAAAAATTCAAGAGCAAGTAAGAGTATGTAAAATGTTAAGCAATCGCGGTCTATCGAGGATACTTATTCTTGAACTTCGGTTACCTTGGCTTAAATTGAAAATTCAAAAACATATGTTCTCTGTAGTCCGGTATTCACCTTAAGGCTTAGTACTCAACCCAACAAAAAGTCGTCCAAAACAAAAAACTTCATATGAAAAACAACGTCAAAAAATTTTGTTTCATATGAAGTTTTTGTTTTGGACGATTTTTTGTTGGGTTGAGTACTAGCCCTAAGTAAAGGCCGAAAAAATCAAAAAGCAGTGCAAAAATTTATATTTTAATTTGTTTCTTATATTGTTTTTTTCCCGCAGTGTAATCGGTCAATTAGTTTTGTGTTTTGATCAAACTAGTCTGTTTCTCTCTTTGTATTAAATAAAAATCTTGCAAATAAGCATGACTTTGTGGTTTTTAAAGATAAGGTTGTCAACCTGAAACTTTGTACTTTGACACAAAATACAAATTAGCAGATAGATTGCCAGTTTAAAATGAATAGTATTAACTTAAAAGTGCAAATATTTATAATATTTGACAGGCATCAACTGAGTTTATTTTCCTGCTAAATTTAAATGAAGAAAAACCATATTTTTTTCCAAATGTTAATTCCCTGCAGGAAAAATGCGAACTAGTCTGAAAAACAACTAGTAATAAAACTAAAATAAAGCAACCGGAATTTGTCTGAATGCATTTGGACTACACAGGGTCTAGAAAATTTGTGCTAGTCGAAAAAATGATTAATACAAAACTAGTAAAAAATAAACTTGTCTCGGACTGGTACCTTTCTGACAAAAAAAACTTTTAAAATATTTAACTGGTAGAGCAAATACATGTTAGGGTCTAGTTAAAAGGCAACTGGAATTTAACTAGTTGCAAATGAAACACATATGATCCAAAAATATAGCCTAGAGTGTAAATGTCTTGGGAAATTTAGCACTAAACAAATCAAACACTCGAGGTCCTCGGTTCAATCCCTAGTCTCTGTACATTTTTTTTTGTTTTTTGTTTGGTAGGTGATGCTTCAGTTTTATTTTAAAATTTGTTTAATCTGTCCGACGCAATATATATGTGAAAAATCAATGTTTATGAATTATGTCACACTAAAATTCATAAACCTTGTTAGGGCATTACAAAATGTGATGCGTGTATGGCTCAATCAGTTAGTGTGTCTACAAATCCAAAGGTCCGGGGTTCAAGTCCTAGAGAGGGCGACTTGCCTCAAAAAAAGTAAGTTTGTTTTAATTCCATTTAATTATCATTTACTGTATTTGATTACATAATAATTATCAGAAATTCTCTAAGGACCGCGCCTATTAATTGGATACTAAATTAGGAGAGCGTCAAGTTAGGCATCGTGAAGTCCTGGTGAAATCCAATCACTTGATGGTTTATAGATTATTTTTAATTTTTTCGTGAAAATATTTTTTTTAGTGTAGTTTAACAACTGTAATCATAAATTGGTTAACAGTCACTAGTGCAAAACTAGTAGCAAATGGACTAGTTGTTTCCGACGACAAGCATATGAAAAATGGACCACTTCGTTACAAGGAAATGGACATAACTTGAACTAGTTAACCTTCTTGACCCAACTAGTATTTTAATAGTCCAAAACTGATTCCGTTTCCTGCAGGGTTTTATTTCTTGTCAGTTGTTAGGTCAGCCTTTTATTCCACATATGTCGTATCGTACTGAAAAGATAAATAGTAAGTTTGAGATTGATTGCTGACCTCTATGAGCCGCTCACCTGCCAATCGTTTTCCAGAACGGGAATCCTGTAGGTTACCACATTGGTCATCTGGGATTGACTGGTCTGAAGATTCCGCACCAAAATCCGACGTGGGTTACCCTGTCGCATAACCTTAACCCTTGAGCGGGGCAAAAGCACTGGACTGGCATAGGACGGGATGCCACTCCAGTACTTTGGGGTCTGGAGACGATCGTTGAAGCCCCGGCCATTCAGGTTCACATATTGCACATTGGGCTGACGGCCAAACAGAGTTCTCAGAAGATTCCGTAGAGGACCATTCCCGGAATTCTGGTTACCTGAGAGCGATATATTTCCGCTGCCCAACAAACTGATCACTTGATCATTTTGGCTGGTGGCATTTGCACTGATCGTGAGGTTCCTTATAATATTCCCCAATCCGCGGCGGAAGAAAGGTCTTAATCCACCTCCTCCTATCACCTGAACTTGCGACGAGGATGGATAGATAACCTGTACATCGCCAGATCCATAAACTTGATAACCCTGTCCTGCAATCGAGTTCACTTGGAGCAGCAGGCTAAAGCCAATCAAAGCGACTAACATGGCGTAGAATTTAGTTAAGCCTTCTTAGTTCCTGAGTTCTAATTCAGATACTAACCCAGGGACTGATGGGGATCCACCTTTTATAATCCAAAGACCAACACTTATCTAAATTGTTATTAATGGATCAATTTCTGGGATCGAACGCTTATAAATTGAACTCCATTTGGTTGATATCAATGATATATTCTAGTGTGATCTGGTATCTGGAAGACATATATTCTGAATAGGCAAAATTTTAAATAGTTCTAGGCGGGATCCAACAATATTTTGTTAGTCTACTTTTGTTTTTTATTATTATATTTTGTTATTTTATTTTATTGAATTTTACTTTCAGAGTTTAATAATAAACACTTTAAAAATTAGAAGTTCTATCATTATTTCACTTATTCTTGCTTATGGTGTCAAAATATGTTCCATCTATACAACTTAAGTTTAAGAGTTCGATCTAACAAATGCTAAATTTAATTATCATTCCTATTTATTTTTTCATTATTCTGTATTTCTTTTATGTTTTCAGTCGAACAGTTGCTAATTTTAATGTTTTCATAACTATAATTTCCCAATAAAATTTGCTACCAAGATTCTACAAATTCGCAAAGTTCCCTGGGACTCCATCGGCACATCTGAAGTAGATTCCAACCGACATCTGCCACAAAGTAATAAACGAGATTTAATCACTTTGGAGCTCCGCATATTTAAATAGAAGCCAGCTGGGGTTTCTAGCAATAAAATGCTTGAACCGTTATGCTAGCGAGTTAATCCATAACGCCGATCTAAACAAATAAAAGCCACATAGCAACTTGTTGGGCGTGTTCTGAGCTGATTTTAATGGCCAAACTAATTTACATGCTAACTTGGCCGAAGCAGCGGTGACTAGACATCTTTTTGCAAAGATGGGACATTTTCTTCAGCAGATCTTTTCACAAACTGTTTGCAAACTGGGTTAATGTTTTATTGGCAATAAGTTAAGAGGGTGTCATAGCATTTCGGACTAGTATAAAAGCGCAGCTGATGCCATCTGTCAATCAGTCGAAAGCAAACACCTTTCACACCATGAGCACCAAACTGGTACTCTGCCTGTGCCTGGCGCTCTTCGGAGCCCTGGCCACGGCCCTTCCCCTGGAGGAGAATCCTGTGCTGGAACAATCGGAGGTGGAGAACAGCCAGGAACTGAACAGCCTGGAGGAGAACGACGCCGAGGCGGATCCGTCGTCGTGGCGCAAGCTCTTCGGCAGCGAAGGCAGCGCCGGCAACATCGTGGTCACCTTCCCATCCACCACTACGACTACCAAGAAGCCCAAGTCCAACAAGAAGCCGCACTACCCACAGCCGCCCAAGTACCCCTCGTACTACTACCCACAGTACCCCTATCCATCGTATCCCTACCCCGGCTACTATCCACCTCCACCACCGCCTTCCTACCCGTATCCACCCTACCATCCCGGATACCCTGGACACGGCGGTCATGGTGGACACGGCGGACATGATGGCGGACACGGCGGACATGATGGCGGACACGGTGGACACGATGGCGGACACGGCGGACATCATCACCACACGACGACCACAACCACAACGACCACCACCAAGAAGCCGAAGCCCGATCACCCGCACTATCCTCCACCACCACCCTACTATCCTCACTACCCGTACTACCCACCTCCGCCACCACCACCACCACCACCACCGAAGCCATCGCCAAACGACTCTGGAGAGTCCTCCGAAACCGATACCACCACAAACATCAAGCTCTGCAAGAAGTTCATTGGACTCATCTGCATCTAAGCGGTAGCTCTTCAATCCTTCAATCACCTTTAAAATCAGCTCAATATTTATTTATTTAAACATTAATTTATTTACCGAATAAAAAATTGAAGCATACCTTCCTTGTTTTTCTCTAGCAATAGGAAATATTTGTGTAAATTAAATACTTTAAATAAATCACCTTCTAAAAGATAAAGATCATTAGGGCTTTGGGACCCATTATTATTTCACCACTAAGTAGTTAAAATAAAATATTTTGACTCGTAAATATTTCACAACTAAGTAGTGTAATTATTTTTTTCAACTTTATTTAAGTTTCTATCACAAACTATAGTGTGGTTCTCTTTTTTCCTAAATATATATAGTTTGCAGACAATATTCTGACGAAAAATCAATAAAAACTAAACATTTACAGAGAATATTTTAAAAATGTAACAGAAACAAAATACTTACACCTTAAATACACCTATCAACTTTAAGAACCATACATTTAGAACGTTACCACATCCGATTTATTGGAATTGATTAAAGATCTCAATAAATATGGATTTAGCATCTTGTGTCGCCACAGGTGCCGTGGAGATTTGTTTCTAATTGACAGCGACAGCCTCATTAACATGATTGTCAGCATCAGAGGCATCATAAAGGTAACCGAATGTAACCTTTTGTTTGGCCTGCTCCCAACATTTCAAATTCCCCCTGCGCGCACTTTACATATTCAAATTTCGCTTGGTAGCCCGCCGAACAAAGTGAGATGTGAATAAGCAGACCGGTTGATGACTTCACTGCCAGTTAAAGGTGGTCGAGCTCATTATGGAGATAAAGTTCGAACAATAGTTGATGTCTGTCAGCCAATAGTCGGCTTATTTATCGGGATCTTGGGCGCAGACTTTCTGGCGACACTAATTAAATGTCCGTCGGCCATTACTAAATCAAAACAGATCCCCGAGGCAGGACAACAAACAACAGCAGATAGAAGATACAAGAGAAGAGGGCCTCCAGACTAGTTAACCATTTCCTCCTGCGTGTTCCGAAAATCGTAAATTTCGGATGTTGTTAAAAAAGTTTTGGCAGCGGCATAAATCTGCGGACAACAGAGCCTCCACGACGAAGTCGGTTCACTAACGAGCCAAAACCGTTGACTGGAAATCCTTGAGTACAGAAATAATGCCTATAAATATGCTGAAGCGGTTGTCTGTGCCCCTGTGGCCCCCGCTTGTGAGATTCAATTGAGTCAAAGGCAGAAGTTTTGCCAACCAAACGAAGGTCAACAGCGCAATTTGTTTCCCTGAAATATGTATGTGAGCCAGAAGAGCAGAGTTCTGATCCAGGGGGCTATTATTATGAGTGTTTGCGATGCCTCAGGGCGATCCATCCAATCGAAGAAGAGTTATGAAGTGCCTGCCTGGCTACCGAACCTGATTGTTTAAACAATGGGCGTAATTACGCAATGGGGGAGGGAGGGCAATTACACGCAGATTACCACGTAATTTATGAAATATGCAGGGACAAATAAAATACTATAAAACACGTAGTGCCGCACAACCCATAAATAAGCCAGGCAGGCTTAGCCAGCTGCCCATAAACTAGCCGTCTATGTGCTCCGTTCAAATGTAAATATATTTAGGGGGTTGCGAGCCAAGCTCTTGGCCAACTCGGCCTTTTGAGCCTGGCAACCGACGGAAGTACTTGGAGCGGCGGAAATACAAATGAAGTTGGCCATATCAGTGGAACTTACTTAGCCAGCTTTTTTATGGCGTTTCGCATTGTTAGGACAACTTTTGGGCTTTTATGCTCTTAGAGACAGTTATTAAAAATTTGATCTTCCTGGAAGCCCACGAAAAATGTACTTAAATTGGATGGTTAGGAAGAGCTGGCCAAGGGGGATAATAAAAAAATCGAGAGACAACGACTATCAGATGCCCATTAATCAGCTAAAGGAAGTGAAACTGCTTGCACTGCTTGCAGGGACGGCCTTCATAACTTTTGAATGGATAGAACGATTTGAGCCATTTATCCTTCTATATGTTACATACTTTCCAAAGAATATACCCATTAACTCTTCGAGTAGGGGGTATAGAAAATAAAACAAATTAAGAGTTCCAGTGAAATGAAACAAATTCCGCTTGATTCGTTTGTGCCAACGTTTTGTGTTGCACCAATTTGTTCAGAACATTCTACACATTGCTGTACGGAGAGTGTGTTTGTATTTCAAATATAATTTGCACTCAACAAATAAATCGAGCGACCCTTCTTCAGCCAACCCTCGTCTCTGCTTCTTGGCCATTGTGCCCGACACTAGACGTCTGCGTATGGCTTTTCACTTTAATTGTGTGAAATTATTTTGAAAAAGTGTTTCGCTTTTCATTTTGTTCTCCCGCCCCTCGCTTTTTTCCCATTTTTTGCTTCCAGTTTTTGTTAACGATTCGTTTAGCACAAGGCCATATTTATTTGAATGGCAGCCTTTTAATGTCGATTTTTATTGTGCGCTTTATAGACACAAATTGCCTAGACAAATGAGACAGAGAAAAACAATTTATGTGTGCATATATACAATAAATGTTCCATAGATATATGCCGGGCATATTAAATACATTAAGATTGATGGAAAATCTTGATGAGTTTTTGTGAAAATATACGTATTTTTTTTGCGTTTCTGATTTCAAAAGCAATTGAAGTTTTAATTAGGACTTGTCGAAGAAGTGGAAGTGGGTGAATAGGTGAACCTTAATTAAAGCCAGTCGACGGCATCGTTTTGCCCCCATTTAATATAGGTTCGGCCATCTCCTTGTGGGCCATTAGGTCTATTTTTGGTGGCCACATTTACGTCAGAAGTGATTGTAATGAGTTTTTGATATTCCCATCGAATTCCCTCCCTGTTCTTCCTGTTCTTGTCAATTTGAAAATGGCCTCAGTTCTTGCCTGAATGTCTGATTGTCTGGATGTCCGACTGTCTGTCGAAGTGTCGGGCGAGGCTGTCAAACACAAACATAAAAAGTGGCAAAAAATATATACAGCCCTGCCAGTTGATGTCGAAGTAATCAAAATGTGGCCAGAGAAATCAAAGCATCTAGGATAAATACTGAATTAAATATCAGTTGAATATCCAGCCAATTGAGGCCAAAATTTAAAGGGCATCTAATTCCTATTCGCTGGGGAGATGAGATGGATCCTTTGCCTTTATTTTGTTTTTTTTTCTTCTCTTAAGCGTAGACAAGCGACTTGCTTAGGGTTTTGTTTTCGCTTAGGGCTCGTGGCATCGAAAACAAAAACAAAAGTACGGCAAAGGCGCCAAAGCGAAAGGAGCACACATACACAATGAAACACTCAAGGTCCTTGGTACCTCGTGGTTTTCTTCTTCTTCACTTTCACTTTCACTAGGGGCGCTTTCGAGCTGCCGCTGCTGCTTCTTTTTTTTAATTTCTTTAAGAGCCAAGCAGAAATGGCGAAATAAGCATAATTTCAGGCGCCATAAAAACAAAGGCAGGAAAAAAATAAATTCACACAATTTGAAAAACGCAAACACTCAACACGCCAGCCGACCAGACTACAGCTGCTTAGCTCCAGCTCCATCGGCTGCTCCTTTTATGCACTGAAAAAAATACTAAATTAAGTGATATTAAAAAAACGAATTTGAATAATTAAAAATATTTATTGAAGTCAGAAATAACTTAAACAATCCAATTTATTTGCAAATAAATCTAAATATAAATTATATATATTATTTGCCGAGTGTAAATGGTGCTCCTGCAGCTGTTTAATGGCTTTCCCCCTCTAAATTGTAGGTGTATGTTTCTGTGTGGTTGGTGGCCAACATTCTTGGTTTCTCGCCAAGTGTCGGATGAGAATGAATTAAAAAAATGTTTACGACTCGACCGCTTGATTTTCAGCACATTGGTAAAATGGCTGGTCGAAGGAAAAGTGGAAAGCTGAAAAACAAAAACAGCGCGTAGAAGACCATAACCGAAGGAATGTGCAAGGGCATACCTCCACCTCCATCTCGTCCATTTCCCCACCTTTTCCGCCCCATTATAGCCCGAACCTGCTGCGGCCATTACCAAACCGACCGAAACCAAACCAAACCGAAGCGAGTGTGTAAGTGTTTGTGGTGACGGTTTTTGGGTTACGCTTAAATTTAAGGGGAAATTTCGCCATCAAGTGGACAACAGGGGGTATTTATTGAGTTGGCCAGGAATGGATCTTAATTTGGAGGCTCTACACTTGTTTGACAATTAGTTAACTTATATAAAGCAATCATATTGAATAGAAAAATTACAAATTAATATCCATAAATGTTTCGCACTGCAATAAAAGCAATTTACAATGTAGAAATATCAAAAAAATTCGAGGCTAGAACAAAAATTACAATTGAAATGTCAATAAATATAACAATTTATGAAGAAATACATTTTTATTGTAAAACTGTTTCCAAATAATTTTTAAAAATCCTACATTATTTCTCTCTTCTACACACAAAAAAAAGCACGTCGCCGTAAAATCGATAAGTCCAGGTAATTTTCTGGTTATTCCTACTCATATCGTATTTACCTGAAATATTCATAAAATTTACATTAAATAATATCATTTTGCCGAATTCTCTCTCTCGAAGATTCTCTAACTTCGAAAAAGAGCGCAAGAATCAATATGGCGAGCAAAATGACTTGAGTGGAAGCGAGAAAGTCGTATTCGAAATTCGAACTGACGTACTTCGAAAGCATGTTTTCTCGCTCGCACTAGTATAAGTTTTGGTCGACCATATCACATTTACCTGGCCCCATATCAAGTTAAAAATGATCTTAAAAAAGGTCAAATTGACCTACGATTCATATCGAGTTTTTTTTGGGTGTACTACTCTTCAAAAGTACTCAACATTTTTCTTTATTTTATGTTCATTATTCAATTTGTGTGGACTCATCAACTGCGAGTCAGCTTGTACCAATTTTTCATATCTTTCCCGCTTTGCTGCTTCCTTTTATTTTTCGACGGCCCCAAAGTTTTAATTATTTCATGGCACACTTGAGGGCCTCCGCTGAATGGTCAGCATGTGCGGTAAATGAGGCTAGAATTTCCAGCCAGGAAAACAATTCAATAATTGGCAATCAGAGGGAAGAGATAGA